ACATTCCTTCAGTTTCAGTTTTAGCAGCCTCATTTTATGACTATGGTATTTTTTACATGCATTTTTCATAAACATAGAGGTTGAATGAAGGGGAGACGGTACCGATACTTAGAACGATCGGGAACTTGAGTAATCTATAATTATAAAGTACCCTGTAGCCAATTCAATGGTTTTCCTATGATGACATATCGTTCACTGAGATGACGGTTGTGGCTTGGTGGATTACACAATAAATTACAATAAAGTAATCACACGTACAACCTTCGGTAAAAAACCGTAGAGACACATTAGGTCTCGGTTAAAACAGGTCCTGCGTAGTTGAGATTTTTCTAGTAGAATTGTTTATGAATGCGTTTACAGTATAAACAAAAATACGTCGATGACCAACATTCAGAATCTCGTAATGTACTCATAACTAAAGTTACGTTAGATTTTACTATCTAACTTATTTTAGTCATATTAGAAATAATTGAAACTACTTTTTTTGGTAATAATGTCGTATACCACGTAAATCAGCTCCTTGTTCTAATTGAGGCTTTGGTCGTAGGCAATTGTGACATACCGCGTAGCTGAGGTTACGTCAACCTCGGCCCAACCTGTGTGTTGGTGAATGACTCAAGAGAGGTGCGGGTGTAGTGTTCCAGACTCGTGTGTAAGTCTATCAAGTAGTGATACAGTCAAAATTGATAAACCAATATAAAGAAATGAAGATATATAAGACTTAACATACATTTGAGATAAGTGCGGTAGGAGAAGAAAACTCTGCATTGTGAGCAGCGTGAATTTGGACTAGTAATGTTGCGTGGGAATTGACGAAATGGGAAGCGTGATCTGTAAATTACTAACGTGTACTTTGATATATGTGTAGAATTTGTTCAAATCAGCTATTGGATGCTCGGTTTCCGTTGTCCGTTGAATGTTTAGGGTTTATCTGAAATGTTTACTTTCCGGTAATGCTCTTTAGATGTCTCTTTGTTCTAGTCGTCTGTCGTTTTTTGTATTTAATTTATTATGTATTAAACGTAATAAATTAGTCTCGTGGTGTTAGTACGATTGTACGTTGTTTAGGGTTTCGAGCGTTATAGATATGTTACCTTGTCTGTGGAAATGTTTTGTTAGTAAAGTTTAGTTCAATGATTTGGTTACGTATTGTGTTTCATCCATGTTTCTTTATGTTTTCAATGTGTCGACGTCCGACAGCTCTTCTTGTGGTTCAGAGTCGGTTATAGTTACCGTAACGTTTTTGTACAAACCCTTTGTAGATTAGTGACCTCTTGAATAGAGCGGTTGGTACGAGTTTAAGTTGTTTTTTGTCGAGAGAATTACAGTAACCTAGTCTTGTTCTAGCTCTTTGCGACTAATGCGAAAAATCTGTTCACGGTGTTTTTTAAAATACAGTCTAACTATTACTCACTCATTGTATAAGAATCGAAACACCTCTGAGTGCGAGCACACCCTCCTTCATCATCGGTAGCCCCACCAGTGCTAGAGGTCTATCTACAGGTAGAACAACCTCCTACGCCACTCCTCGCCCAAGTGCAGGCATTTTAGTAGGTGTTAGATGAGTGTCTTTCCATCTCTTATGCAATAAGTCACCTCGTCGTGCCAAACACCAGTAGTCGACTTCTATCTGGATTTTCGTTACACCTGTAAAATTAGTGGAAAAACCGCTTGGTCCACGGCTGACCGGACTCATGGGTGAGAGACCTCACCTAAGGTCATAGCTAGGTCTACCGCCCCTCGCGAACCAAAGAGGCCACGTACTTTGATTCTTGTGCTACTTCCTTCCTTCGTCAATGTTTGTTTGTAGATATACTCACTTGTATGAAAATTTAATTAACAATATTATAGAAAATTATATATTTCCAGTGGTTATCATAACGTTTTAGGTGCACAAGTACGAAAAGATGTAGTTGTACAGGGTATAGACACATTCTCAGAGACTTCTAAAGTTCCTTGTTTCTAAGATGTAGAGAAATACAGGCCCTAAGTAATATATATTTTTTTGGACAGATTTTACTCGATCTAGTTTTATAAACTGGTTTTTGAAATACTACAGTTATTTGCTACATATAACGAATAACTTATTTGTGTTAATCTGGTTATTTGGTTTGTAGTTTCCATAGGGGGGGGGGGTGGAATGTTTGTGACTAGAGTGATTGATTTTCTTGTAGGTATATCCTGTTCGTCAAGTGTGTGCACTTTTTATTTTTTTTGTAATTTTTTATTGGGCTATTGAAAAAGTGCTATAATCATGGTCAATCACGGACCTTATAAATACACCAAGTGGTGGGTTTTTCTTTATTTATTTTCATGAATCAATGGCCACTTTGATAAGGGGTAAAAATTAGTTTGACGATCTCTTCCACCTATGTAAAGACCCCTCTTTTTCATTGGTTAATGATCTAACTGTTTGGTGTAGTGTGGCAATTTTGAGAATTTTTCAAATCATTCGGCGGGTATTAACAATTAAACGTATCTCGTTAATCCGGTTTTAATTATATCTGTATATTTTTATATCCGGGTGCCGCTGTGGTTTGCGTCTCCTTTATTGAATAGCTGTTAGTTGTTTTCTTTTTGTTTATCCCTTTCGTTTCTACCTCGCCACCTCTATCCTAAATACCTGTACTTTCTACTTCTTACATTTTGAACTCAAATACCTGTACTTTCTACTTCTTACATGTTGAACACAAATACCTGTACTTTCTACTTCTTACATGTTGAACCCAAATACCTGTACTTTCTACTTCTTACATGTTGAACACAAATACCTGTACTTTCTACTTCTTACATGTTGAACCCAAATACCTGTACTTTCTACTTCTCACATGTTGAACACTAATACCTGTACTTTCCACTTCTCTCATTTTCCAAACAGGCTGGTTCCTTTAGTCTGAATGTGTGTTTGGTGGCGTGATCATTATTATTTAGAGTCATTGCGACCCTATTGATTTGAACACGATCCGTGTATCCATCATTTCCTGGTCTTCTCTAAAGAAGAGGGACCAATGAAAACGTTGTCATGTTGCCGTTGTTCAGCATGGAAACATTCATTAGCTAACAATGACATTATTGTTCTATTAATATAAAGGGAGGTCAGGTACTCTTTAAAACAGCTGCTAGTTATGGGTACTTTTGACTGAAGTACATTTCAAAGTTCTTTACTTTGACTTGAGGAAAGAAGTTTAGTCAGTACTTCTACTTTCACCAGAGTATCTGTACTTCTACTTGAGGAAAGGATGTGTGTACAAAGTCAAAGTTTACAGCTGGTGGAGATGAGCAGAGACAGAAACACACCGGTATATGACGGACATATACTCTCACTTATACAGAGGTGGAAAGTACAAGTACCTTTACTTAAGTACTTCTTTGTAGTATTCCCACTTTTTACTCCACTACACTTATTTAACACTTATAGCTGGCAGCTACTATTTACATAAAAAACACATTACTTTTTTTTAATGATACAATGCAGTACGATACTACAGTACCAATACATGAATAAAACACCTAACATGGTGTAAAGTAACAAACTATGTATTTGTAAGCAATTAAAAGAAGGAATCATTGAATATTCTATAATATTTAATACTTTTAAAACAGCCATGGTGCATAATGAGTAGTTTTACTTGTGATACCTTAAGTACATTTAGCTGGGAATACTTCTATACATATACTTACGTTTTGTATGCTGCTGCAACGCAAACATTTCCCAAATTGGGATCAATAAAGTACTTTTTATTACTTATCTTAAGTTACATTTTCAGACCTGAATTGAGTAAAGGATCTTCTTCTGTCACTGCTCTTATAATTGTGGTTCCTCTTCCTGCATAGAAAGTAAACGCTCTTCAATTAAACATACTTTAGAAAGTGTCCGAGCAGATCAGCTGCCATGCAAAGGTTTTCATTTGAGCTTTGTGAGCTTTCATTGCAGCTTCAGTCCGGCTCTCTTTGCAGGAAGACAAATGATCTGCGAGACGAGATGAGGGTTCCTTCACATTTCAGCTAATGGTGAAAAATGAGACCTGGTGATTGGCTACTGCACATACACTTCTTTGGGGGAGAATGCCATTAGTACTTTCCCTGCTAATCAGAATTATGGACCCTTTCTTCTCTGTTATGGCAGACATTAGACGTCTTGTGATTTCAGAATCGAACCCCTCCTCTTGTGGCTAATTGCTCTCGGATGTTGGAGGAATATTTGGAGTGAAATGTTGATGCAGTCAACACGGGGGGAGCTAAATATAAAATGGCTGCTGTTATGCTAATGGCTGCCACTGAATAATTCAAGCATGGCTGATAATAAAAGTGTGGAGGGAGGGGAGCTGTCGAGCCATGTGTCAGGGCAGCCACTAATTTGCTGTCAAGCCTCATATACTATAACCCCCCCACTCACAGTTCAGCACTGGGGATTAGTAAATATTTTGTCCGCCTCTCGATGTAAATAGACAGGGAGGAGAGTCAGGAAAGGGGGGGTTGGCAGGAAGTGGAGTTTGGCTGTTCTGCTCCCTG